GTGGGTTTGTAATGACTATTGATTGTGAGCATTTTTGCATGTTAGCCACTTGATGGTCTTCTTTGGTGAAGTGTCTATTCATGTCTTTTGCCCATTTTTAAATTGGGTTGTTTGCCTTTTTTCTTGTTGAATAGTTGAAGTTTTCAGTACATTTTAGAAATGAAAACATTATCAGATGTCATTTTCAAGATATCCCTTCCCCCAGTCTTTAGGTTTTCTTTTTACTCTTTTGTTAAGTCTTTTGAAGAGCATAAGTATTTAATTTTTATGAAGTCCCACTTATCTAATTTGTCTTCTACTATTCATGCATTTGTAGTTACGTTTGCTAACTTACTTTAAAAAAGAAATATTGGTCCTCTAATTTTCTACCTATATTTTCTTCCAGAACTTTATAGTTTTAGGTTCAACATTTAGGTCTTTGATCCATTTTCAGTTAGTGTATGGTCTTGGCTGTAATCGTGACAGTAGCAAATGGCCAGGCCTGTCTTCCACAAGTTAGCATTGAGCACAAACAGTTTATGCCACCTAGGGACCTCCAAGAGACATTAAGTGAAAATAAACTAAAATGCAGAACAGGGTTTAACATACCATACTTTGTGTTTAAAAAGGATGTAGGGGGTCATTTTTATTTAGAGATACATACAGAACCGATAAGTCTTACTTATTTTCTCCAAAATATTCCTTGGTGGTAGTGAATGGGGTCTAGGTAAAACAAGATTGGCCATTGAGTTGATAATGGTTAGTACTGGATGATGGTGACATGGGAGTTAGTTAAATTCTCCTCCCTATGTCTGTGTATATTTAAATTTTACCCAAATGGTAGAGAGGGTTAAACATGGAACGCTGTTCTGGTTACCTGTGTGCTGCTGTACCAGATAATACCACAAATGGGATGACTTTAACAAACAGGAATTTATTCTTATAATTTGGAAGCTTTAAGTCCAAGTTCAAAGTGCCAGGCTCTAGGGGCTGGGTGAAAGACCCTCAACCTTGGGCTTCAGCTCTGCCTCCTGCTCCCAGCCCACTGGAGCTGGAGGCTTTTCTTCACTCAGACAGCTACTGGTTGCTGAGACTGACAAGCCCAAGGTTGACAAGTAAAAAGGCACAGTCTCAATGTTACCAAACCACATGGCAGGCCATTAATTTAAGTCCATTGAAAGTCCCAAGGTTGGCAGGCTGCTGAACAATGACATGGCTACAAGCGGGGTTCAAGCATGCCATAAGCTAGAGACCAGTCCCAAAGTTGCTTCTTATATACAGGAAGCAGACCACATCCCTAAAGCAGCTACTCAGCTGCTCCAATAGATTCTACCATGGAGTTAATTATCAGTCTTATCATGGGGAATAACTACATTCAGCTGCCCAGCTACTTAACCAGGTCTAGCCAAGTTGACACACAACTTAATTACCATGGAAACATATACCTGTAAGCCCAGGTATGCCTAAAACAGGTCTGAAAAGACACAGGGAGCTGGATGACCCTGGGAGCATTGGACTGGGCGAGAAGGAAACACACTACTTTCTGTATGCACTCCTATAGTGTTGAATGCTCTGTCACATGCTTCTATCACTTTCTCAGAATCTCACTTTAGAGTGGCTGCCAGGTTCAACCATGGATGTGTGGGCCTGAGGGATGCTTAAAGGTGGCATTCCTACCCTCTGAGGCACTGGCTCACAGGATTGACCCCAGAAGCCCAGTTCTGCATGGGTGCCATGAGGAGGTCAGGACAAGAGAAAGGAATCACCATTTATCAAGCCCCAGAATATGCAGGGGCCCCATAGGCGGTTTTGTTTCAGCTTCCAAATAATCCCACTTGTTTCTTATAGTAGGGAGTGTGGGCCCTCTGCCTCCTGTCAGCCTTCCTCATTCTGTGCCAGCAGCAACCCTTTGTGTTTGGGCAAATGCCCAGCCTCAGGGGCTGGGCCATGGTCTATCCATGTCTGTTGCAGTAATCTCACACTCCTTTAACTGTGAGGATCCAGACATAGGCAGAGTCCTGGTTCTAGCCATGAGACATAAAAGGAGGTCTACTGAATGGCTTCTAAGAGAATTTCTTTCAGGGTGAAAGTGAAAGCTGCTGAAGGAAGAAAGATTTTTGCCTTAGCCCCTCCTTTCCTGCTTGGGATGCTCTTCCGGGAGATGTTGTCTGAAGCCTAGCAGTCATCTTGCAGTCATGAGGTAACAAGCCTATGACAACAGTCAGCCCCAGAGGATATTGGGGCAAAGTGGGCAGTGTGTTGCCCTGGATAACATGTGTTGATGCTGTGCTTTGGGGCTGCTTTTCTCTGAGCATCTTGGGAAGTAAGCAAATGGCTTAAAGTAGCTTCAGCCAGCTTTCAGTTGCTTGTAGCTGCATGAATAACTAGACAGTCAATATAATCCCTATTTTACAGATGATAAAACTGAGGCTCAGAGGGTGTGAGTAGCCTGAGGTCACTGTGGTGTAAGGCCTAAAATTAAAGCCCACTATTAAGTAATAAAGGAGCTCTGGTGGTAGAGTGCCTAAGGTATTTGAGTGCGAACCAGAAGGTTGGTGGTTCAAACCCACCAGCCACTCCATGGAAGAAGACTGGGCAATCTGCTTCTGTAAAGATTTATCACCTTGGAAGACCAAAAGGTTTCACTATGAGTTGGAATCAACTCGATGGCAGTGAGCTTGGTTTATTAAGTAATATGCTGCCCTGACAACTGGTAAAACCAGGAGGGCCTTGAATGGCCTAACTGTAACTTCCCCTCTCCCCTCTGCTCCCACAAATGAGGTCCCCTCACTAAACTACCCTACTTATTACAGGGACCAGGTAGAATTCCTACTTATCTCTGAATATTGGGGTTCAGTTCCCTGTAAGCCCTTGGAATTAGTCAAGCAAGGCAACCAGATCCTCCCACATGGGAACCAGAGGGCACTCCATCCTCTATTATTAAAAAGCCTCCTCCCACAGCCTCTGGTTCCAGAGTGGAACTCCCATGTGGCCCTGCATGGTGTGCAGTGTCTTCTCCCCTGGGCTGTATGTATGAGAAATAAACTGATGTTGATCTTATCTGTCCAATGTCAAGTGTCCTATGTTTGTCCATCTGCATAACTGTGGGGCATGAATCTCTCCCTTGTGAATTACATGAGGTGAAGAGGAAGTGATTAAAATAATCACAGCTCTCAAGTAGGGGACCTGGGCTCAAACTTGGGCCACTGGGACTCAGAAGCCACGGCTGTGCCCACTGGTCTGTGGCCACATCCTAGCAGCTATAATCATCATTCCATGCAGCATGGCTGGACTCAGCTGCCTAGATTCTTGCCCCGGCTCTAGTCCTTATAACTTCTTTGGCATTTGGCTAATTACTTAGATAAAAGTAGCCCCCAAATTGTAGGACTGCTGCAAGGATTAAATGAGCTAACAGAACTGGAGTTCCTGGCACACAGTAAGCACTTATTAGCCAGATTGCTGGAATTGCTAGTATTTCTCCAGGTGCAAGTTGCAAAGCCTCCAGGGCCTTGAGGCCTCATGCCTCACTGGGTCCTCAGACTATATGGGGGCTCAGCCAGCTCTGTCTGCCCCTCAGAAGCCTGTGGAGCTAGTAGATCTCAGGGCCCTGAGAGTCATAGTCCAAGTCTCACTCCAGAAATGCCCTGAGCTTTCTATGTGGCCTAGGGCAGCCAGTCACCCTCTCTGAACCAGGGTTTCCCTATCGGTAATCTGAGGGCATGGTCAAGATGAGCCCCATGGGCCCTTCGGCTCAGCCCTTGAGGATTAGGTGGGCAGGCACCTCCTCAACCCTATTGCTCTGTGTTCCCCCATGTCTGAGAGATCTAAGGCATAAGTCTCACACTGTTGCTCCAGTTGCTCTTGCCTCACCTGTAGGGCCCTGCCTTGCCGCTGCCTACCTGTCCAGGCTCCCCTTGCACACCCTCCTTGTGACTTTCTGCTTACCAGTAGGCCTTGTGCACAGACTGTTCCCATTACCTGCAGTGCTCTACCTCTACTCTTTGCCTCTTAACTCTTCAGACCTTCACTCCAGTGTCCCTTTCTCAGGGTAGTCTCCTCTCCCCCATCCACACTAGGAAGCTCTTATAGAATTCTTGCAGCACCTATGCTTCTCCATTAGGGCACATATCAGTTAAAGTCTGTGGAGGTAATGATCTGAGTGACGTCTCCCTGAAGTGAACTGTCAGCTCTACAAAGGCTAGTTCCCTGCTGGAGCCTCAGCATTGTGAACAAACCCTGGTATACAGTTGTTGTTGTTGTTGTTATGTGCCATCAAGTTGTACCCAACTCATAGCGACCCCTCCTTGGGTTTCTGAGGAAGTATCACTAGGGAAGTAGATTGCCCCATCTTCATTCTGAGGAGTGGCTGGTGGGTTTGAACCACTAGCCTTGTGGTTAGCAGTCAAGTGTCTTTAGGCACTACACTACCAGAGCTAGGTGCTCAATATCAGTGTCCCTATGCATGCCTGTGTGTATGTGTGTGTGTGTGTGTGTACACTTGGGGTCATATATGGTCCCAGCTGGACCACAGTAGAAGTTGAGTGCATGGGCCAGCAACTCCTGGTGTCCATTTGTTTGAGAATAATACAGGGTAGAAGATCCCTGCCTGCTTCCCTGTCACACGAAGTACTGAGTTGGCTAATTTAATGACTGTCTGTCTCTCCACTAGTTGTCAGCTCCCTGATGACTAGCACAGAGTCTGTTTGACTCTTTTTCATATCCACAACACCTAAAATACTGCCAGGCACAGAGTGTGGCTTAGACTGTTGTCAGATGGATGGATGAGTAGATGGCTGAGTAGAGATTCCAGGTCTTTCAACCTACCCCCAAGGTTTGCCCTTGTCACTGTCCCATGCATAGTCCTCCCTAGACAGAGCCAATAGTTGCAGAGAAAGCCTCTCCATGCCCCAATGTGGATTGCAGTCCCATGTTAGCAGGTCCTCACAGGAATGCCAACGTTCCCATGGCTGGGGGCTGGGAGTAGAGGGATATATCACTGGGGTGGAGGTCTGTTCACCTACCTGGTATAGGTCATAGAGTATCTGCAGGGGACTCCTCCTTTTCCCACTGAGCCATCCAGAGCCCAGGGCCCTGTTCTCAAATGCTGTGGAGCACAAGGAGAGATGTGTTACTGTCAAATCACTCAGACTGGCTTTGGAAGTAGGGGGCCTGGCCAGCACATCTAGGGCACATGTGACTAATCTGCAGGACCATTTATCTCAAGAATGGAGGGTTTGTCCACCTTGTGAAAATTAATCAATGTAAGACACCACATTAATAAAGGATAAAAAATTACATAGCCTGCTTGCCTCCTGCAGCCTTGGTGAAGTGTGTGTGTGTGGTGGGGAGCACTGGTAGAGCCCTAATCCTCCAAGAAAGGATCTTTGGTGTCACTCCTCCCCCATGTTCTGCCCTCTAGAATTTGTGGATGTTAGAGAGGAGGGAATGAGAGAGGAGGTGATGCTTAGCACACCAGCACTTCTGGGACAGGCCTGACCATCCAACCTCACCATCTCTACCTGCCCTTATCTTGTGGCCTGTCTCCATGGATCCCTGAGGGGCTCTCCATCTTGACTGGCTGTTCAGCCTCCCCAGACCCTAGGGGTGGGCAGCCAGAAAGAGTTGGGTGGCAGTGGAGGCAGCATAGCTAGGCTGTAAGCTTTCATGGGTAATAGCTCCCTATCCATAGTTCCTATGGCAGCCTATATTTCCCCAGTTAGTTCTATGCTGCCTCATGGTAAATTCAGGTTTAACTCCCTGCCAAACTGGAAGCCTCTGAGAGTAGTAACCTGTCTGTCTTCTTGCTGCATTCCCAAGTTTTCTTAAAACTACTGAAAAACAGTTTGCTGAGTTTATTCTAAATTTATACCTAAAATGTATTTTAAGTAATATTTTCTTAAACATATTAAATTAATATGAATATAGTCTTAGTAATATAGTCTATAGTTAAGGATATAAGTTCATGATCACATGGTTCTAGATCATTATTTTTCTTGAATATGATGATATCTATTAATAAATTAATATTATAATTCAGTCTTTCAAAAAGTCACCAAAATGAACAACCCTTTAGCTAAATTGACCAAGAAAAAAAGAGAAGATTCAAAATACTAGAATTAGGAATGAAAGAAGGGACATCACTACTGACCTTACAGAAATAGAAGGATTATATGGGAACACTATGAACAATTGTAACCAGCAAATTAGATAGCTTAGATGAAATGGACACATTCCTATAAAGACACCTATAAAACCCATTGCCATAAAATTATTCTGATTCAGAGATCCTGTAGGATAGAGAACTGTCCCACAGGGTTTCCAAGGCTGTGATCTTTACGGAAGCAGACTGCCACAGCTTTTTCCCATGGAACAGCTGGTGGGTTTGAACTGAAATTTCAGTTTACGCTGAGAGCTTAACCAATATGCCACCAGGGCTCTTTTATAAAGACAAAAATTGCCTAAATTGACTCAAGAAGAAATAAAAAGTCTGAATAGACCTATAACAAAGAGACTGAATTTGTGACAAAACAAAAACAAAACAAAACAAAACTTCCCACAAAGAAAAGCCCAGACCCAGATAGCTGCAGGGAGGAAATGCTACCAAATGTTTAAAGAAGAATTAACATCAGTCCTTCACAAATTCTTCCAAAAACACAAGAGTATCTTTCTCAATTCATTCCTTGGGGCCAGTATTACCCTGACACCAAAACCAAATAAAGACATCACAAAAAATAAAATTACAGACCAATGTGCCTTATGAAGGTTGTTGTTGTTAGGTGCTGTCGAGTCGGCTCCAACTCACAGCGACCCTGTGTACAACAGAACGAAACAATGCCCTGTCCTCCGCCAGCCTCACAATCCTTGCTATACCTGACTTCATTGTTGCCCCCACTGTATCAATCCACCTCGTTGATGGTCTTCCATTTTTTCACTGACCCTCCCCTTTACCAAGCATGACACCTTTCTCCAGGGAATGGTCCCTTCTGCCAACATGACCAAAGTAGGTGAGACGCTTCCAAGGAGCATTTGGTTGCACTTCTTCCAGGAGAGATTTGTTCTTCTGGCAGTCCACGGTACTTTCAGTATTTTCACCAACATCATTCAAAAGCTTCTTCGGTCCTCCTTATTCATTCAGCTATCACTTGTTCAATCTTCCTTATGCATTATTCAGCTTTCACATGCATATGAGAACATTGCAGATACCATGGCTTGGGTTAGGTGCACATTAGTCTTCAAAGAGACATCTTTGCTCTTCATCACTTTAAAGAGGTCTTTTGCAGATTTGCCCAATGCAATATGTCGTCTGATGATTTCTTGACTGCTGCTTCCATTGGTGTTGATTGTGGAACCAAGTAGTATGAAATCTTTGACAACTTCAGTCTTTTCTCACGATCATTTATCATGATGATGCTTAATAGTCCAGTTGTTAGGATTTTCATTTTCTTTATGTTGAGGTATAATCCATACTTCAGACTACAGTCTTTAATCTTTAACAGTAAGTACTTCAAGTCCTCTTCACTTATGAATAGGGATGGAAAAATCCTCAACAAAGTACTTGAAAACTAAATCCAATAACATATAAAAAGCATTATACCAAGTAGGATTTATCCCAGGAATGCAAAGTTGATCTACCACATTAAATTAATCAATATAATACAGCATATTAATAAAGGACAAAAATTACACAATCATCTCAATAGATGCAGAAAAAGCTTTTCACAAAAATCCAACAATCTCTCATGATAAAAACACTAAACAAAGAATAGAAGGGAACTGCATCCAACTAATAAAGGGCATATATAAAAAATCCATAGCTGTGGTAGTTAAGGTTGTGTGTCAACTTGGCTGGGCCATGATTCTGAGTGGTTTGAAAGCTGTAATGTAGTTGTTCCCCATAATGTAATCAACCTCCATGGTGGAATCTGCTGTGAGCAATTATTCAGTTGAAGGGGAATTGCCTTTGGGGTGTGGCCTGCTTTTAGTATATATGGAAAAGCTGTGAGAAAGGTCTCTTTTTGTATTTTGTATTTTTGCTCATTTTGTATTCTGCATTCACCCATCGTCATCTCCAGTTTCTGAATTTGAACCAGTGTCTTACTGTGTTGCCTGCTGATCTTGGGATTGTTGCCTTCACAATCTGTAAGCCAACAATCTGCCATTTTACCTGACTATTTGGATTTGTAAGCCTCAGTGAGAAGGGGAACCTATTACCACCATGAAAGAGAAGCTAGGAGCGGAATGCATAGTTTGGTCCCTGTGCTGGGATGCTCCTAGGAACAAGAGAGAGAAAGTCTTCCCCTAGAGCTGGCACTCTGAATTTGGATGTCTAGCCTCCAAGCCCGTGGTAGCATAGGACTTTGTAAGAGAATAAATTTCTGCTTGTTAAAGCTATCCGCTTGTGGTATTTCTGTTACAATAGCACTAGAGTACTAACACAACAGCTAGCATCATACTTAATGTGAAAGATGGAAAATTTTTCCTCATTGATCAGGATCAAAACAAGAATGTCTGCTCATGCCACTTTTATTGAACATTTCCCCAGCCAGGAAAATAGGATAAGGGGGAAAAAAAGTTGCGCAAATTGGAAGAGAAATAAAATTAGCTCTATTCACAGATAACATGATCTTGTAAGTATATAGAGAACCCTACCAAATCCACCAAAAAGCTTTAAAAGTTAATAAACAAGTTCAGCAAGATGGCATAATATAAGCTCAATATAACAATACCAATTATATTTCTGTATGCTAGCAATGAGTAAAGGGGCCCTGGTGGTGGTGGTTGTTGTTAAGTGCCCTCGAGTCGTTTCCGACTCATAGCGACCCCATGCACAGCAGAATGAAACACTGCCCGATACTGCGCCAGCCCCACAATCCCTGCTATACTTGAGCCCATCATCACAGCCACCATGTCAATCCATCTTGTTGAAGGCCTCCCCCTCTTTGGTCGACCCTCCACCCTACCAAGCATGACATCCTTCTCCAGGGA